TAATTTTTTGATACAAAAAAACTAGACATGTGGACCTTCATTTTACTTTTTACAGATTTGATTTAGCTCTTCTAGTTTAGCTGTAATCACAAAAACCGCGGCGACACTTTCATTTGACTGGTTAGATACAATGTATAATGTGATTTAATAAATACACTAGTTTACTTATCATGAACGAAACTATACTTTAACGTATTAAGAAAACAATTGCAGTAATTTAATTATGATAAATTATATAATTTTAGTTGTAAAAGTTAAGATTTCTTTAATTAACATGATCATTTTATTTACATATCAAGAAATATTTTATATTTAATTAAATTGTACAGTAAAAAGCATAAAGACTTTGCCTAAATAAAATCTATTATAATAAATTAAAATAAATGTGATATTAAAATTAATATTATTTATTAACTAATTATAATAATTAAAAACATTTATTATTTAATAACATATAATAAAATTAAAAATAATTAATTTACTATAGTTACAGAATTTTATAAAATATTTTATTGTCTCCCTACACCTATGATTATACTTTGACCCTGCACCAAGCCCCGACGTTTATTAAATATAATAGGAACACTAGTGTTGGGCACCTGGTAAAAGTAAAACTGTTTAATAAGTTTAACCATGGCCAGTTTTGCCTGAAACAACGCGAATCGCATGCCCAGGCAATTACGAGGACCGGCGCCGAACGGCATATATGTATAGGGTTTGATGTTATGGCTATTTTCGGGTAAAAACCGGTCGGGTTTGAAGGCAAACGGGTCGGGAAAGTAATCGGGGTCGTGATGCATGGCGTACACCGGGATCTCAGCGCACACTCCCTTCTCAACCCTCACACTCAACCCCTTGGTATCATCGGTGAGCACCAGGTCTTCCATGGCCTCCCTCTCCACGCGAACTAATGGCGGATACTTTCGTAGGGTTTCCGATACAACGGCGTCCAGGAATGGCAGTTGGGATAGGGTTTTGTAGTCTATGTCTCCCGTGTCGTCGATAGCGGCGTCACTGATCTCCGCCCGGAGCCGGTCCTGAATGCCGGGATTGAGTGCCAACTCGTAGGCACAGAAGGCCAGTGTGTTTGATGTGGTTTCATAGCCTCCCAGTATAAATAGGAAACACTGGGCGAGTATCTCATCTTCGGTCAACTTCTTGGCGGTCAACGCCACTCCGGCCAACGCCTGGCGCTCAGCCGCCAGCTCATCAGCCGACGAGCTGTCCATCAGGTGATGGGCGCCGCCGGCGCCGACATTCGTACCCTTACTATCGCCAGTGTTTGGGTTATTATTGGTGTCCACTCTCTCGACATCAATGAGGAGTTGAACGAAATCGTCGTGTTTTTCGGCCAAACGTTTGCGTTTAGCGATCAGTTGTCGCGAGAAATCAATGATAAAGTTGGCGTTTGATTAACTTGATAATTCACTTAATACATCATTAAATCATAAATAACTAAATAAAAGACATTATTTTCAATATGGGATAATTTACACATTATTATTGTCTATATTAACATTAATGAAATTAATTGAACTTATACATTAACATATTTGGCACATGATTGTTTACTGTATAAAGTCGTTCTCCACCTTACATATAGTTGTATTTTATTAAATAATAATTGCATTTTTAATGATTCATTTCGTACAAACTTGATCGATATGTAATTCATAATTGTTTATTATTTAATTATAATATTGCAATATGGGCAGCTCAATTTGTAATAAGTAACTTGTAGGTCACTAAAATCGATTTTGATTAACTTGATAATTCACTTAATAAATCATTAAATCATAAATAACTAAATAAAAGACATTATTTTCAATATGGGATAATTTACACATTATTATTGTCTATATTAACATTAATGAAATTAATTGAATTGATTAACTTGATAATTCACTTAATACATCATTAAATCATAAATAACTAAATAAAAGACATTATTTTCAATATGGGATAATTTACACATTATTATTGTCTATATTAACATTAATGAAATTAATTGAATTTATACATTAACACTTTCGGCACATGATTGTTTACTGTATAAAGTCGTTCTCCACCTCAAAATCTTATTTTATTTAAATAAATACGATATTTAATGAAAGTTATGATTAAATTTTAATGAAAAAGTTAAGCTTGTTATGTCTTTTCATTACTGATATAAATCAAATTATTAAAATAATATAATTTCACATAAAATTACAATAATTCCTTAACTAATAAAGTAAATATAGTATAATTTTATACACAAATATAGAACATTAGTGTGCATATGAAAACAAAATAATTCTTAACTATCCAGTTAATTTTAAATTAAATAATTCCGATCATTACTTTAGCTTGTCAATATCTGTATATACGCCCAATATACTTACTTTAAGGTCATTACCAATGTATATAAGACTCACTCACCTTATGTATTTTGTGCACTTTATTATACGTCATATTCAAATGCGTTATTTTCATTATATTGTAATAAATTTATTGTTTAATTGTTAAGCGAATGTACTTTTTATTGCACGAGACATTGGCTACAATAGCAGGCGATCGACACGAATCTAAATTCATCACAAATTATTTAATATAATAGAATTATATTTAATGTTCATGGTTTGCCATTTTTGAAATATACAGTATATTCCCGGAAAATAGTTCTGCGCCGGAAAATTCTTTATATTCCTTAAAATTGGAAAAATAAGACAAATTTATTTAATGGTATTTTAATGAATTTTAATGGTATTTATTACATGTGCCCTAACATGCTTAATCATAATAGAGGAGAAGAGTTGGTAAAATCTATTTAATTAATTTAATTTAAATCATTTTGTAAATTATTTTTTAATTATAATTCAATAATTGCGCTTAAATAATGACGTAATGCTATATGAGTGACAACCAATTCGTTCTTATTCATCAAAAACATCATAAAATTAATTGACTACTGTATAAAATAAGATTATTTTTATAATTTTTTATACTTTTTAAATAATTTATTTATAGTAATATTTAAGATAATCAAAATTATTAAAAATATTTTCTCTTTTGTTACTGATTTCCCTGATTCACTTTCTATTTTCCGTAGTTTCCTTATAAATTCCGTCCCGGCAACATGGGAATTAATGGAATTTTGAAAATTTCATGAATATTAATTATATTTACATGAACATTTTTAATACAATAATATTAATGTTATATATTAATGTTGTTAATGTATTTAATAAAAATATAATTGTTATCTTATTTACATTGCGATTTGATGTCTAGCTTTATGTTATCAATAATTGTCATTAATTTATTGCTTTCAATAATTATATCTATTAATAAAAACTGATTAAATATGCAGCTAATGGTAACCGATAAGTATATACAGTATTCACGTTTTCAATTGTACTTTATTTGTTACAATTATATTAATATAACAAAAATGTACATTTAGTTAAATAATAAAATAATTTTAAATGAATCAAGATAAAATTTTTCTGTAAAAAATATGTTTTCATTTTTAGACAAACGTATTAATGATAATAATTATAATAACGTTAATAATAACGACGAAAATGTAATCAAAAACATTAAACTGTTTCACGTGTTCGACGACCACAAGGGATATAACGTGTTGTTTGTGACCCACGAAGACCTGGTCTACGGCTTGGGCTCTAACTATTTGGGAGCACTCGGTTTGGGACACAACCGAGCGGTGAAATCGGCACAAATTATACCCCAATTGTGTTACAAAACAATCCGCCAATTTGTCAACGGATACGACTTTGTACTGTGTATTACTGGCGATCACTGTGTGTACGGCTGGGGCTGTAATGGTTGGGCTCAGTTGGCCCGCGAGGTCGGTGTGGCCAAGGGTTACGCCAAACCCGACATAATCGCAGCGCTTAGTAGAAAAAACATACGCGAAATCAGTTGTGGTTTCAGTCACTCTCTGGCCCTTACGGGCGACGGCTGTGTCTACGGCTGGGGGTATAACCGGTTCGGACAGGTGGGCAGCGATCAGCCTATATCGGCCGTACCGGTGCCCACAAAATTACGCTTTGCAAACCACCATGTTCGGCCCAAACCCTACACTATTAAAAATATATACGCCTGGGTTTACTCGTCGTTTGCCATCACAACAGAGGGACAGGTATTTAGTTGGGGTCGCGACGAGTGCTATAATTTGGGCCATAATTGGGGCCACAGTATAGCCAAACCCCGACTGATTGTAAGCATAGCTGGCATTCAGACGGTGTGCGCCGGCGGCGGGAAGTCTTGCTTTCTCTCCAACGATGGGTTCGTGTATTTTTGCGGCCAATACGTGGCCAGTGATGGCCCGCCCGGCGCTGTCGAGCGTTCCGTACGGCTCCTGGACTGCGACAAGAAGTGCCAGGAATTGCATAAAATGTCTTCGAGTATAAGAAACGCATATCTATTGTGTGCTGTAATCGATGGCAAAGTTTGGACTATAAATAGGGATCACGTCTTCCGGGAAACCACTTGTGATAATGTGTTTGACTTTTATTTAAATGAGTTTCGTATGACTTATAAGACGGTTGCGTTGACCGACCACTTAAGCCATGGTTACGGTTCGAGCGATTTGTTTCAAGAGAGATGTTTGCAATTTTTGACCGACATGTTTGTCACGCTTACGCAATGAGATTTATCATAAATTGTTATTTAAAAATAAAGTTTACTTCAATAATAATTATATATTAATTTTATTGTCTAAGATTTATTATATATTACTTTTACTAAATGTTAATAATTTATACATTATTCATTGTATTTATAAGTTATAATGCAATAAGTTTACATTCTAGATTTATTATTAATTATGTTAGAAATTCTGTTTTACTGTCATTTGATGATTGGGAACATTCTGTATATTTTTAACACATACTGATATATTTCATGATTATACACCATGATAAATGAATTATCATTAGCAAAAATATTATTACTATGATCAAATAATCTGTTTCAATGTAAAATAATGTATTTTTTTATTACTTTATAAACAATTTTAATAGCATCTGTATTGGATTTTATTTAGGCAAAGTGTTTATGCCATTTACTGTACAATTAAATTAAATATAAAATGATTTTGTGACTTATAAACAAAATAATCATGTTATATTTAAAAAAATTTACATTTTACAAATAAGATTATATAAAAATTATCATAATTAAATTGCTGTAATTGTTTCTTGATAAACTACGCTATAATACTGTTTAATTTAACAATGCTAAGTAAGTAAGTATATTTATTAAATTACATTATGTAAATTAATATTTCCGGCGCCACTATTTCAGTATAAGGTAAAATAATATTTACAAATATTATTAAATATATTGCACAATCATGTCTAATACCTGGCGCCCATTATTCCCAATAATTGACCAATTTTTACTTCACCGGACACTTTATTAAAAATTTATATTAATTAGTAATTTAACAACAAAATGTAAATGTGTGCTTGTTATGTAAGTAATAGTTAACAACAAAAATTTACCATTGTTGATAATTTCTTTTGACGTTTCTTTACTTTATTCTTGCATTTTGTAAACACCTTTAGATTATGCCACAAAAGGGACAAACTTTGGATGCATTTCTTTTCCACTCGTTTATCTCTAATATTACTTTCATTTTAATATTATATAATAATATTCACGTATTTTAAATCACTATTAAATTGCAACCAAACTAAACAATATTATTTTAATGCTAAATTTGTCAAATCACCTGAAATGCATTTACAGTGTTAACTACCTTGAATTTATAGATGTAATATATTTCTATTAATTAAAATAATTACGGAGCTTATTTTGTTCATAGCATAGAATATTTATTACACAGAACTCTCACTGTATATATTTAATTTATTAAGATAACGGTATAATTTAGATATAAATATTGATACATTAGATTTTCTATTACGCACACTATTACACCACATAAATGAGAAATCATGGTCATTATAAAACTGTACCAAGAGTACAAACAACAGTACATGAGCACTTTATTTCAATTAAATTTAATTAAAAATATTCTGAAATAAAATAATGATAACAATCCAATAAAGTGTATTCATTAAATCTATGTATATAATTATTATCGTAGGCATAATGTGTTTGTTTAGTCGGGTACAGTTAAGAACTAGTATATAAATTTAGCAATATTTTCTTAAAATAATAATTATAAAATTACATGTAAAGAGTTAACTTGCTAATAATGTCAATACAATTAATATTTCATCCAATGTTTAATATAATAAATTATACATTTTGGTATTTGTTGGCCGGACTTGTGGCTACACTAGTCTACTATCACGTGTAAGTAAATTATTAATAATTAATATTAGCTATATTTTAAACATATTGCCTTAACAGCACGTGGAGGCGGACACTGAGCTATTGGCAGCGCCGGAATATATCGGGCCCCAGACCTGTGCCCTTCTATGGCAACACTTACAGCATAGCCCTAAAGCCGGGACCAGTTGTCGAGTTGGAGTGGTATAAAAAATACGGCAAACTGTTTGGGTAAGTTTTATTATAATTAAACATTGTCAAAAAATTACAATAAACCATTATATTATTAATAAATAGTGTATACAATATGTCAAAACCGGCGCTAACAGTGGCGGAGCCATCGCTGGTAAAGCAAGTGTTGGTCAAAGAGTTTCATCGGTTCCGCAATCGGTCGGAAGCCGGCGGCGGACACCCAGTCATCGAGAAAAATCTATTCAACGCTAGGGATGAGCACTGGAAACGGATCCGAGCCATAGCCAGCCCTGTGTTCACATCGGGTAAACTCAAACGTATGCTCAAACTCATCAACGGCTGCGCTCGGGATATGACGAGTAGTTTGGACGGACAGTTGGGGGCCGACGGCCGGTGCGAACTGGATATCAAACAAATGATGGGCGCCTTCACTATGGATGTGATCGCCACCACAGCCTTCGCCACCAAAATCAACACATATGGCGACCCAAACAATCGGTTCACCGCATGTGCCAGAAATATATTCAACACCTCAGCCCTGTCGTCGCTAGTGTTGGCCACTTTGCCGAAGTGGCCGCTAGTCGTACGGGTCAGGCGGTGGTTGGGCTTCGGGAACGCCGCCGACGCCAACTTTATCATTGATTTCTCGCGACAACTGATCGCTAAACGCAAACGTTTGGCCGAAAAACACGACGATTTCGTTCAACTCCTCATTGATGTCG